ATGCAACAAGCAAACAAACTGCAAGATAGTTTTTTATGTTACTGGTAAAGCCAAAAACTAAAGTTTTGTCGGAAAAGCATGAGTTGGGACATCGGACTGTATTAACCCTTTCGTTACGGTCTCCGTATTTAAGCGTCACCCACGTGATTACCTGAGTATACGAGAGCCGTATTTAGCCAGCGTCAGCATGTTACCGTTTGATAACCGAACCCTCTGCCACTGGCCAATATTCCATTGACCTATATTGGATTGATACCGCAAAAAGGTTGTTTGGAATGCGCCTAATATGTATTGTAAGTCAGAAAGACGCTTATATTCCTTTTATAAATCTGTAGGAAAAACCTGAAATAGTGCGAATAACTGAAGGCGAGAACCTAAGTATGAGTGTAAAAATTGCCATATGGGTTTGTGTGTCAGCCTTTAGGAAAATCAGAAGGAACAAAAGTGCGTTTTAAACGTTCGAAACGATTAAAGTCTCCAAAAAGGTCTTTTTGTAATCAAAAAAAGCAAATCGAGATCTAATTCATGAGACTTTTTACATAATTTATTTTTCCAAATTTAATAATTTTGCAATTTAGAAGAGATCTGTTTTCAGTTAAAAATATTACTCAAAAATTCGAATTATCAGTAAAAACCAGCAAATCTTATAAGAAACGCATTGTTAAAACAAATAAGCGAATCGGTAGCCCTTTATTGACGTGCTTAATTAACAACAGAATAGCAGTTAAAAGAGACAGTAGATTTAATTAAACTCACGCGACAGAATTCAGTCTCTTAAAAAACGACTACATTATCACTTGAGTTGAAATAATTTTTGTTCAAATTTATATGAAAAAAAAGACTACTTTGTTTTTCTGTATGCACTTTGTACTTTTGTATGTACTTTCTGACGAAGGTTTTCAAAAAGGGTAATTTCTTTGATTTCAAAATCGTTACTTAAGTTTTATTTACTTTACTTTTTAAAAGTAACTTTTAAGTTCGTGGTTCTGAACGCTTTATGGAGAAAGTTCGATTCATTTGTCATCGAGATAAAGCAAATCGTGATCGAACCCATAAGATTTTTTACATCTATTATCTTTTCCAAATTTAATAATTTTGCAATTTGGAAGAGAGATTTCTTTTCTGCTAAAAATATTTCATGTCTCACGCAAAAATATGCATTATCAGGAAAAATAATAATTTTGTATAAATCACGCATTGTCAGCACAAATAAGAGAATCGAAGCCCTTTAATGACGTTCTTACTTAACAGCAGAATAGCCGTTTAAAGAGACGGTAGATTTAATTAAATTCACGTGACAGAATTCAACGTGTGAAAAATCAACTCATTTATCATGTCAGTTGAACTATTTATTAGCATTTTTTTTAAATTTATATCGTATGGAAAAAGAATGCTTAGTACTTTTTGGGGTATTTTTTTCAAAAACCGCAATTTTTTAGAATTCAAAATCATTACTTAAACTTGATTTCTTTACTTTTCAAAAGTAACTTTCAAGTCCGTGGTTCTGAAAACTATATCGAGAAAGTTTCATTCATTTGTCTTCGAGAAAAAAGCAAATCGTGAAACTTTTTAGGTATAGGTAATTTATCTTTTCCAAATTTAATAATTTTGCAATTTAGGAGAGATTTCTGTTGTGTTAAAAATATTTAATGTCTTACTCAAAAGTGTGCATTAGCAGGGTAAATAAGCAAAATGTATAAATAAGCATTGTTAGCACAAATAAGAGAATCGTAAGACCTTTATTGACGTGCTTGCTTAACAGCAGAATAGCCGTTAAAAGAGACGGTAGATTTAATATTTAAATTCACGTGACGGAATTCAACGTGTGAAAAATCAACTAAATTATTACTTGTGTTAAAATATTTTTTTTAAAATTTATATCGTATGAAAAAAAGAATGATTTGTATTTTTTGACGTAGTTTTACAAAACTGCAATTTCTTTGAATTTAAAATCGTTACTTAAGCTTTACTTACTTTACTTTTTAAAAGTAACTTTCAAATTCTGAACGCTTTATCGAAAAAGTTCACTCTTATCTCTGAATTTCTCTTACCTTAAATCAGAATTTCTCTTAATATTTTGTCCCAGAAATGAGATTGTTTTAAAACTTTTTCTTCCTACTTTCCTTCTTTTTATAAAAAAAAAAGAAGAATTATATTTTGTTCTTTTCAACATTCGATGTTAAATATAACTAGTTGGGGGGCAGACAAGAAAGACGTAACATTTGTTTATTTCTCTCTGATGGGCAAAATAAATTGTTTTGCTGAAATGTGGTTCACAGAAAGAAAATTTCATTTTCTACTCTTTGAGGGGAAAAAAAGCTAGAAATGAAGGAAATATAGTTTTTTTTTTAAAGGGGAATCTCTACAATTTACTGCTAAAAAGAAATTAATCAATAAACTGTCTAAAAGATATAAAAAAATTAAATGCACTTTTAAAGAAAATTTTATTAACAAACTAGTGACTTAATAATTAACATTATGGTTATCTAATTGCACTTGTTGCATACGAAACTCGATGCATTTAGGCTGTTTCAAAATTATAAATTATATTTATTTTAACTCCTACAATTTAGTTAAAAGAAGATAAGGGGTCACAGTACCCAAAAAATGACAAAAATACCAAAATTTTTTTTTATTTCTTATAATAAAACTTCAAACTATTTTAAATGTACAGAAAAAAATTCATCTCTCTATCTACATTTTTAAAAAAGTTATGAATGATTTTAAATTGTTCTAATACAGAAACTTGCTCAGCATAGATGATAATTTTGTGTCTTAATCTTAATTGAATCCCTAAGGAATTTTTTCTAGTTAAGATAAAGCTTTGAAGTAAACTTTTTTATCTTGAGTATAATACACTTATTTAAACTGTGCATGGAATAAACATTTTATGAGGTATTACAACTTTTACGGCATGTTATACATACCTAACAGGAATTTTTACCCTTTTTTTCTACTTTTTTACAAAATAATCTATAAAAAATATTCTAATTGATATATCAACAAATGAATGCACAAAATTGTTAAGATAAATATTGCAAGCACTATGAAAAAAACTTTTTTTGAAAATATGTTAAAATAAAAAGCCTTAGGGATTTAAAAATTTAGAATTTTTTCAACTTTTTTTAAAATTTAAAAAAAATTAAGCAGTTTTATCATTTTCTGAAGATAAATTATTGATTATAACTTGAATGAGCATGTAAAGCATCCTCAAAATGAATGATTACACCTTTATTTTAAAAAATTTTTTGCAAAGGTACTGTGACCCCTTAAATAGCCAATAGAGGTTCAATATTATTTTTTTAAATATCAATAATAATAAAAATAATAAGCTGCATTCTTTATCGCTGGATTCATTAAAATCTACCAAATTTTTCTGCTTACAGATCTGCAGTTTTACGCAAAACAAAGCATCTTGAATAGTATGCCACAACCTTAAAGAAATAGTCTACATCCATTGTAAATGTTTGTTCTAATTTTGCGGTCAAAGTTAAAATGATATTCAACTATGTTAGTATTTTAAACTTACGGATTTTTGCAAAATCTCTTTTTTTCACTTACGTAAATTTTATATATTTTCTTGCACGCATGCTTGTTTCATCTGAACCAACGCACGCGCAAATAATTGAAATCTTACGTACGGAAGATAACGTAAATTTGTGAAATCTCCCTATTTTAAAATTTTTTCAACTCTAATTGTAAAGATTTATACAGAGTTTAATAATAAAGTAAGATTCTTTTAATTATTAACGCAGTTGTTTTCAACTATAAAAACTGCTTTACACATTTGTGCTCAATGCTCTTTTAAAAGAACAATTACTTTTTTGAAGAAAGAGACACATGTGCGGCGTAAGTGTTTTATAATTAGTATTTATTTTGCAAGAAAAGGATATTTGTATCTATACATTATATTAATAATATTGATTTATATATTTGGATTTGAAATCAAAGAATAATTCTTTCTTGAAGTCTTAGGTAATAGAAAAAGATATCCACAAAAGCTAAATATCCATTATTTATCTAAAAATATACGCACTCATACTTTCTTATTTTTAAACTTGGGTGTATTTCATATACACTGACTCTTAAATTAGACTGACATTTTTCAAAAATTTATAACAGTAAAGCGGTTAAAGTTTAAAAACATAGTTCTTGAAGCAACTCCATTAGACAGAGTGAAAATGTTTTCCCAGAATTCCTGGCTATAGGTCAAAAAAATTTCAACATATAGCAAATGGAGTGAATACTGAATGGTCGAATGTTTTGTTTAATTACAGTATATTTTTTTACATTTTATTGTAATTTTAGTCGATAAATATAAATTGAGAATAATATTTAGAGGAATAATGACGTAAAAATATACATTAAAAAAGAATATTTTTTATATGATGTGAATTGTTTTAAAATGTATTTTATTAAAACTCTTAGGAAAAGTGAAATGAAGGCGTGAATAAAGATTCAATTTCGAACATTAAAAAACAGCTTTAAAATTAATACACCTAGTAACAAGTTTTCTAAAAAAATTCATAGTGCAGAAGAATAATTGTTAGTGATTTATAATTCTTATTTTGAATTTTTAAAACTGAAAAAGAAAATGTACAATTTGCAAAAACTCCGTGTAAAATAATATTTTGAAAATAAAATGTTAAATAAATAATTATTTCAAAACTTACAAAATTGTTTCTGTCTGTCCATACAAAAAATATTATGCAAATCTAAAAATTATAATTATTGAAAAATACTTAAAGTGAGAATCAATCTGATTCGCATAAATTATGAATAATAAAATTCCAGTTTCATAATAATTTTATTCAATAAATATACACGAATACGAAGAAGAATCTTCACAGAAATAATGACATGGAAATATATAATACAAAATGAAGTGACATTAAATAACAATATATAAGCATAGGTCTTTACATCAATGAATAATTTATTTAAAACTCTTACACACCTCGTTAAGAAATTTTACAATAAATATACCTCAGAAAATTACATTTTTTCAAATTCGCGTTCACTTAATAAAAATCTACTTTTTATATCTTTTAAGCTCTTTTTTAACTCCATTCTTTGCTTTTATTTTATCCATGCTTCGAAAAAGTATTTTTTGATAAATATTCAAGCTCATATATCATTAAGTTGGCTGTCACATGCATTATCTAGCTTTTTTTTTATGAATGAATATTTTAGCGGAATTATAAATTGATCCCTTCTCAATAAAATGACAAATTCCGCACCAAGGCAAAAATAAAAAGAAAAAGAAAGAGTTTTTTTTTGCATGTTTGACAGCGATATAAATTTCACGCATCAACTGAGTTTAAAACAGTCGGGCGTCAATTTACATTGTAACGTGTAATAAACATCGAGATTCTAATCTAAATGCAAAACCATAAAGACGATTATACCATGTTCGGAGTATGCATTATGTAAGAGTTTCTACAATTAACATTTAAATATTCTAATGTGCTGAGATTATCTGATCTAAAGAAAGAGTTGAAATTATCTGGGAAATATAGTTAGGGTTTTTATTTGAAGCTTGATAGACAGTAATCATGGACGTTAATATACATATCGTTGAGAATCCTTGTCAAAAATGTAGTAAAAATATGAATATTATAGATCATAAAATAACATTCTGGAAAAATGGGAGAAAAAAATGGTTTCATATTCTGGGGAGTCACTACTGGAAAAGGTGGTATTGAAAACACCAATCCTTGTTTGATTGCCAGTTGAATGAAAATATTTTAAATAATCGTCTGCTTCCTTTCTCGTCTGCGTAATAACAAACTTCTGTGTAATAAACAACTTCTGCTTTCTTTTGCTATTAAACAAGTTTTGATGTTTTTATTTTGTTAGACTTCAATAATGTTTTTATTTTTTCCTGGATTTAATATTTATTTGCTACATTTTTGACAAGCATCATAAGAATATTTTATTAAGGACGGTAATCCTCTATTTGATTCAGTATTATGCTCTTTAGAGTTTTACATTCTCTAATTAACTTGTTACATTTTAATGTTTATTAACTTTTTTTCACTTCGTTAAATAACGTTATACATGCAAAGTCAAAAAGTAAATTCTTGTGTATAAAGACCGAAGAGAGTGGTTATAAAATACGTCATTAAATGAGCAACTGAAGGATCATTTCTCGAAAAAAAATTGGTCGAAATGCAACAAAAATCGTAACTTATATCCTGATTATACGGTAACGATTCTAATCCATAAAAATTTATTTTGTAACTGTTAGAAAAATAATTTTGTTATTCAACCGATGCTTGAATTAGAAATTTAAATGTAAATTTTCTTTTAAAAAAAACTGGATCACATAACCTTTAACTCATTACGATTTCGTTACGTCACCAGCAATGTAGGAAATTCCTGTATTATTCACAGAGTTTAGAATGACAGGCATTTTTAGGCTGAGTTCGAAATAAATCGTAATTTTTATTAATAATTAATGATTTTTATTAAATTTTGAATTAAATTTTTTGATTAATAATTTTTAGGAAAGGAATATTACTTAAGGGATAAAATAACAATTCCTTTATTCAATAAATTAATTTCTTATAAAACTCAAATTTTAATTTCACCATCCCAACAGGTTATCATTAATAACATCCTATTTGGAATCACAATAATATAGTGAAAGTCGGGAAATGGTCCTTAAACAAATATCAGCGTAGGAAATACCGGGCAAGTGTACATTTCTGCCCACTTATTATTCCGGTTAATCTGGTAAACGTTAATATTACATAATGTCCTTCTTAATGAAATGAAATATGAGCTTACTTGTTGCACTATTTATTATACTAATAAATCATAATTATATAAATGAAAATCATGAAATATTCCTTTTCATACATTACTGATTCAATATATGGCATTGTAAACAATACCTAGGCAATGTGAAAAACGGTTAACATTATCGGTCACTGCTCACATTACCGATAGATTTTTGACATTGTTAACAGTGCTAGATTTCCATTTTTTTTTCTAGTAACACACACATTGATTCATGCAAAGCATTTATGTTACTTTTGGATTCGTTTACGTAATCTATATATTTATTTTTCTAGTGTGGCACCAAAAACGCGAATATTTCTCTATCTAAATTGGCAACACTAAAATAATCTATAATAATTCATTTTGCCAGGTTGTTTTAATTTAAGTATTGTTAAATAATTATCTATACTTTAAGCATTTATTTAGAAAGTTTAACTACAAAGCAATTATTTAGACTCATTTTTTTATCCTTTCTAAAGTGGCTGTAGAAATTTTAAACATAACTAATTTTGCATCTTATCTCACGACAAAGATGGATATAATTATAATATTTCTGCTTACTATTGTGTTGAAATGTCCCAAACTTTTACTTATGGCTGTTTGTGTAATTTAATACTTGTCGGGTGGATTTTAAATTATTACTCCTTATATTATAATATTCAATTAATTATTGAAAATCCAATACATCGAAAACTTTGACAATAATGTGATTTTTCTTAAGAAAAGTTAAAAGTGAAAACAAGGTACTTCAGCGGGGCTAGTTCATGTTAAATTTTAAACAATGAAAAAAACCACATTTGAAAGTTATATAGTTAAGAGGAATAAATTACTAAACATGTAAGTAACATTTAAATTCATTAAATCGTATGCTTATAAGATTCAAAATCTACATTAAGTGATTTATATTTATTTATTTGATATGTGTTTAAACATGTTAAGTAATTGGTGATATTTAAAATAATAAAATATTACATATACTATTACTAGCGCACGCTTTCAGTTCATTTATCAAAGCGCAAATAAGCGTCATTACTGATTCAAAAAACTGTTCTTATAATAAATATGTAAAAAACATAAGTAAAATATCAAACTTCTATTGTATTGTGTCACTATAATATTTTGCGGCATAAATCATACAGGAAATATAAAACTCGATTTAGTTTAAGTAACACTTCTTTAACTGAAAGAGTTGGAACAGTATTTATGGAAAAAACACATTTAAAAAATCATTCAGAAGTGCGTGTTCAGGCGAAACTGTACTTTTCCGTATTGTGTTGACATTGGAAATTCTAGGAACTTTTAAGGTATCTATCAAAAAACAAAACTAAGGAGCAGTTTGATTAAAATATTTAGAAAACAAATGTGGCTTATCACTATACTGACACAAGCCCTTCACTTTTAGTAATTGATTTAATACAATATAGATTATGGAATTATTGCTTTTCTAACCAGTATAAGTACAATACCGTTGGCTTTACTTTAATGCGAGATTGCTATTTTGTATTTACATGATAATATATTGTTTTAAAATATTATAAAAATATGCATATTTTATGTTCTTTTAGGCAAGTGTAAACAGGGAGCAAAATTTGTTATGATAATGCCCCTAAGAAAAACATTCATAATGTTAACATTTAAACCGTATTTATTAAATCATTTTGATTTATGCTAAAACATATAAGTACGTCAACAATAAATAAAAAGACACACATTTATGTTTATAATTTTAACTTTTTAAATAAGTCAAACAAATCAATAAGAAAGATTTCGCTATGATTTATATCTTTTCCTTCTATTTTACTTTTTTTCCCTCTATAATAATTTACAGTAGGAGAAAAGAGAGAAATATACAGTTCCCAAGGACTAAAAAAACTCGAAACATAATTAATTTTTATCAAAAATTAATTAGAAAAAACTTTAAAACAAATAAATAGTTTTTTCACAACAATTTATCCTGAAAGTTTTCTTGTTTAAAATACGTGTAATCATTACAAGACTTTCGTTGTTCAGTTTATTGATTCCAAGGACATTTTATTAATTATAATACTTTTGTTATAGTTCATTAGCCAATAAAATTAAATTTGACAGCAGAAATTAAATCATATGTTTTTCTGAGTGTCTTTCATAAAATTTTTGAATATAAATTAGGATTTTTTATTCACCGTCACTTACATGTTCTGATCTATTTTTGGTACATAGTTTCAAAGCAAAAAGAAATTTTTAACTCAATCTAATGCATTGAAGAGCAATTGCAATTAAATATCAGATGTTATTTCATTTTAGAAATTTAAATTCTTCTGATTTATTTCAAAAATAAAATTTTTTTTTAGTAGAAACATTTTCACAATTAGATGTAAGACGGTGATATCAGTGATGTCACACATCAGATGATTTACCTGACCAATCACCATGCATTTCTATCCTGTTTATAGGGTCTGGATTTAATGGTGATGACGGAGGCAGATGATTATTACTGTTACCAACACCTAATGTGGTGCGTCTGGTATCACAGCGATCTCTGTAAGTCTGTTTGCAACAAGGACAGCACTCGATCTGAAGATAAGTAAGAATTATTTTACGGAATGCTTCCCTAAACTCTGTATTAAAAATACTGTATATAATTGGATTCAAAGCCGAGTTGCAATAACCAAGCCATGTCAGAAACTTGAAGACCATGTCTGATATACATGATTTACAAACAGCTGCAACAATATTTATGCAGAAAAAGGGCACCCAACACACGAGAAAGGTACCCATTATGAAACCTAAGGTGATAGCAGCTTTGTGGTCCATGTTATGGTGATGATTATGATGATTAGAGTTGCAAGAATTGGACCCACTGGATTTTCTTGTCTTGGTGACGGCCCGAATATTTCGCACATGTTTTCGGGCATATAGATATAGTCTTGTATATAATGCTACCATGACTACACACGGCGCATAAAAGCTGATAATCGATGATACCACAGCGTAAACTGGCGTCAAATCTAAAGCACACGTGGGCCGAAGTTCTTCGTCAATGGATTCAGTCACTTTTTTAGGCCTATGCCAGCCTAGGCTTATAGGCAGAAAAGATACTAATGCTGATGTCAGCCATATTCCAGCTATAGCCATCAGCACAACTTTCTTTGTCATCCAGCGGCCATAACGTAAAGGGTCTTTGATATGAATGAATCTGTCCAAGCTTATTGCACATAGGTTGAGGATGGATGCTGTTGAGCACATGACATCAAAAGCTACCCAAGTATCGCAGAATTGTGGTCCAAACATCCAATATCCCATGAGATCATTTGGTACAGCAAATGTCATAACTAGAGATGACACAAATAAGTCAGCAAGTGCCAGGGACACGAGAAATAAGTTGCCTAATTTGCGTAGTCTTCGGTCTGTGTAGATAGCCAGACAGACTAGAAGATTGCCGGTGATAGCCATGAAAATGATGGTGACCAGGGGGATTCCAACGAGACATTTTGTAGTGGTGTCCCATGAATCGTCATAGTCATCGTCCGGATTATATGGTGTGGTCACTAATAACGACTCATTTAGTTGAGCCGAGGTTTCAAGCATGTTGAGCACAATTAAGTCACATGTTTGAAGAATTGAAGTACACCTGAAAACAAAAGAAAACGAAGAATGAGAAAACTTGTAAAGGAATGTAAGTAATTATATTAAAATAGTTAAAAGAAAATTCTATCAAAAATGGTCTATGTGAAGCGTTAAATCAGATTCTAAAAATAAATGAATTACTGAAAAACACAAGGTAATCATCGATTAATTTATATATTTCTCTTATTTGTTTATAAATAAATAAAAACTGCCCATCACTATCTCTCTAATATGCTCATTTGCTGAATTCTTAATGTACCAGCAAAATAGCGCCATTCAGTTTGAGTGGTCATTTATTTTATTCGAGTGAACCCAACAACAATTAATGAGAAATTCTAATGAATCAGAATGATTTTTCATATTGTTGATTTCCTAACATACCTGTCTCTCAATATGCCAAAGCTTCATAACATAAAAAGTTTCATTTTGTCTGATTTGTCTTTCATTTTGATTGCGTTGGTCAATCAATAACTAATGATAAACTGTAATATTTGTTTTGAAAAAAATATTTTATTTGATAAGCAAGGCAAAAAATCAGATCGTAGTGCAGTTTAGATAAAAAAAAATAATAAGAGTAAAATCACAGAGCAACAAGTTTTTTTCCAAGCCAGACAGATATTCTCCATTTTATGGTGGTGATGGGACTTATCCTTATGGTTTAGATTGGCTTTAAGGCCGGGCTCAGAAACTGTGCAACTGTTATATTAAATTTAAAATAATCATTTATGTTTTTGGGAATAGATTCACCTCAATAATGTTGAGGCAATTTATAATATGCTCCAGAGATAGTGGAAAGTTCCAGCTTGAGCATGGTGGAAAAGTTTTCATTCCATTTTCAAATCTCGTGTCGTCCTTGACGTGATCAGTTCTAAAGCTACAAAGCATTGTTGAGATGCACCGAGGGACCTCAAACTTCAAAAGTTCTCGAACAGATTTGCTGGCATGCCAATTGAACACTCCCTTTTAACTCCTAGAACTCATGGTTCTAAAAAAAACATCCGATTTCAAGTATCATACCTCGTTCATCAAATTAAAATCCTTTTCTTCCATCTTTTTGACAATGAGCATAAACTAAGCATGCACCATTTTATTTTATATTTAATTTTATTACCGTCATTGAAAAGCCAACCAAATTTTGGGTTTACGACTACCAATGTTCAACTCCGTAGCCTTGTAATAATGAACCCAATCCAGAAGAAACGAGAACTCCTGGATCAAGTATTGAGAGAAATTTTGCCCTCGAGGAGGACTTTTTGATGGAATTAACCATCATTTGCATTACGCAAAGAGGAATACCACGAACACCTCCCACAGTTAGCCTGGAGACAGGGCGACTCTAATCCATGATCCGTCTAACACTGAGGATATTTACGTCGGCATTGTGGTCCATGCGAACCGTGTGCGGAATTCGTATCGGTCAGCCGTCACTGGGATTTGATACTGGTTCACCTCATTAGAAGGCGAACGCTCTATCCTTTGATTCACCACCCTCAATCTGATGCCCTTGAAGTGACCAGGAATTGTGCTCTCCCTTTTAACTCCTAGCACTCTTGGTTCTAAAAAAAAATCATCCGATTTCAAGTATCATGCCTCGTTCTTAAAGCAAGAATAATTTTCTTCCAGTTTTTTGACAATGAACAAAAACTAGGCATTCATCTGAGTTGGGATGCTGTTTCGAATCCTTATACCTTAAAATACCAATTTTTAATTACAGTTATTCATTAGCAATAATTAGCAGAGCGAAGTAGTATGAAACCTAATTTAGCTTAAAAGTTGTAGTTGTTCAGTTTGATTATTTTTTTGTTAATCTTCTTTAAAGGTATGGAATACAAGGTTGAAAAATGTTTTAGAGACAAAGCATCACAGTAGTGTGTTGATTGCAGGCAAGATCGCACCTCTAGAAAAAAGGCTGTGAAGATCGTGAGTTCAATTCTACGATATAATTGGGTACTTGCATTTCAAGAAGATCATTGATACCCAGACTTGCGACCTATGATCGCTTATAAACAAGATGGCACGTTGATGACAAGATAATGTTGAGCTGAGTCTCTCCAAAAAAGTTAGAATGCTAATTAGCGTGAAGTTAATTAAATACAATCGCACATCGAATTCGTTAAAATATAATTATTTCTCTTCTACGTTTTTTTATTTAAATTGGATTTATTATTTGTTTAGATAGTTTATTGTAACAATGATACATATTTGTTTTGTGTACCTGGCAATTTTCACGCAGTTTGTTTATGTTTTTCATGGCTTCATGCCTGTCTTTGTGTTAAGTAAGAAATATTCAGTGAAAGAATTGAACTCGTTGTGAAAGAAATTAGAATGTGTCGCTTAAGATAATTTATATTCNAATACAATCGCACATCGAATTCGTTAAAATATAATTATTTCTCTTCTACGTTTTTTTATTTAAATTGGATTTATTATTTGTTTAGATAGTTTATTGTAACAATGATACATATTTGTTTTGTGTACCTGGCAATTTTCACGCAGTTTGTTTATGTTCTTCATGGCTTCATGCCTGTCTTTGTGTTAAGTAAGAAATACTCAGTGAAAGAATTGAACTCGTTGTGAAAGAAATTAGAATGTGTCACTTAAGATAATTTATATTCGACGGGCTTGTCTTACAAACTAAGTCTAAACAACGTTAAAGAGCACAAAAATATTTATAAAATACAGACAGCTGGTTCGGATGCTCAAAGGGCAACCTTCCTCAGTGCATCAGTACTTTCTGCTCTTTAAGGTTGTTTAGCCTTAGTTTGTATTTTAGCCCAAAGGTCGCCCACTCGTGTATTTATGATGGACTTGTCTTACTCGAAATAGAATGGAAAGATCAGCTGTTAAAGTAAACAAATGCCACGTTTCAACAACCAATCAGGGTCGATATACCCACACTACGTCTCTTGCAGGCATTCCAATGATGAAGAAGATTGCCATTGAGACGGTTTAATATCCACGCATGTACGCCTTAAGCAGATTCTGGTTGGAACCGCAATGGCTAACGTAATGTGTAAGTTATGAAAATTTGCACGAGTGTACGCATTGATTACAACGTTTGACCAGGATAAAAAGTATTAACACTCTTTACCATTAATATTAAAGATTAGAGCTCTGTGAAAAAGTTACGTTGGCTCAAACTAAAAAGGGTAAATACCCGGAAGTGAAATAGAAACCCTTTTAAGCATATTTATTGGTTTTCGAACAAATTAATAAATGAGCAATATCTGAATCTTTATTGTCTAAATGAATAAAAACTTAGTTTGATAGTTTAATAAAAACTCTTTTTTACTAATGCTATTATAGAAATTTATTTATATATTTTCAAACTGCTGTTTCAAAATGTCATTTCAGTTCGTCTGACCTTAAACATGTTTTATTTTCAATACGTCCTTCGAGAAATCCTAAACTATAACCTCAACTAGTATTATTGAATAAAATAATTTTCCCTACCTCATATTTGCATTTCAATATATTCTTAACTCAATGACAAGAACAAATCTTTAAGCATTACTTTAAGTAGAATATAAAATTTTCATATAATATGCTATAGTCTCTATATGTAATATGTTAGTCTCTATAAAAAGGTATAAAACTATTAGGAGAAAACTTAAATTTTTATGGTAAATTGGACAAAGCATTTCGAATCAGTGACCCATATTTCGACAAGATTTTAATATACATACAAATATTTCGCCTTTTTCTTTTTTTAAAAAAAAGAAAGATCAAGTTAATATATAAAAAGCCAAAAGATAAAATAAATTTATTTTTAATTTTTTTTGAATTCGCATATTGTCTTCCTTTTTCTGCTTGACGAAAATATTTTTGAAACATCTCTTGCATGTATTTCTGTTTGTTATACTTAAAGAAAATAGTTATTAATTTTTTCATAAAAATGGGGAAAATAACATAAATTAAAACACTTATAAAAGACTTCGAAATTCTACGTTTTTATAAAGCGGAAAAAAATATTTTACGAACGAATTTATATCATTTACTAGTTCAACTATAAAAGATGCCAACAATGTGTCAAAAACGTAACAAGCTCTTTATCAGAGAAAAATTAATTGAAATACAAAAATGTTGTAATACAGATGACTTCTATTTTAGTTTTCATACAGAGGCAGTTACACGTTATAACATTTTAGACCTCTTTTAAAATTGCATTAAGATGTGAGTGAAGTTATACATTACGATATGTTATATAAACAGGTAATAGAGCGCTTCCTCCTAAGGAGGAGACACTGATTCGAATCCCAGCGATGGCTGGTCGGTTCGAACCACAGTGCTGACGTAAAATATCATCAGTGGCAGACGGGTCATGGGTTAGAGTCCCCTTGCCGTCTGGCTAACCGTGGAAGGCTTAAGTTTTTTTCCCTCTCCATGTAACGTAAATGCGTTCGAGTTCTACAAAATCCTCTGTCCTCCACGAAAGCAAAATTTCTCCCAATACTTGATCCGGGAGTTCCCTTGTTTTCCGGATTGGATTCAAAATTGCAAGGTTGCAGAGGTGAGCAATGGTAGTCGTAAACTCAAAATAGCCTCGGATGTTCAAAGACGGAAAAAAATAAAATAAAATGCTGAATTAAATAAAAAAATTCGTTTGATTTTACTTTCCATGATCTGAAATTTTAAAATCTATATACATAATAATAAAAGCGGCTGTGTGTGTGTCTGTCTGTCTGTAATCACAATATATCGCCCCAGAAGCCTCGCCAAGGCACGAAACTCGGCACATAATTGTGTTTTGACATAATGAAGAAGTATTTTTTTTCTTTTTCAAAAATTTTGATTAGTTATTTAGTTATCAGTCATTTTGTAAGTCTATGCTTTTCGTCTGCTTTTTCGTCTTCAAAGAGCCATATTCAAAAAACTATTAAAAAATGCATATACTTTTCCCCACTCTTATAAATGTATGCTAATGCGAACCT